TTCGGGTCTGACTGCTCCTGGAAGTTTCATTTTTTTGATAGGGTTTAATGTTAAAACCTTTCAGTGCCTACCAGGACATTTCTGATACTCATCGATTAGTTCAGTAAAGGTGTAACTATATTTGAATTATCTTCTTCAATGAGTTTACACTTTACTGTTATTTCATCTTGTCTGATCAAAAAAATCTCCTGATGATTCTTCTAACAATGTGTGATTGGAATAATAACTTCACACGTTGAAGAGTTTTGTGCTGCAGCTGAGAGGCATGTAAATACAAGCTGCTTATTTGCAAGAAGCTTCCAGATTTCCAATATGATTGCTATGGAAACCACATAATGAAAACCTTATAACCATCTGTGTGGTTTGATGGATTTACTGCATAGCTGAGCTGTTTTTGTTTACTGTTATTAAAATGTTGAATGGAATATAATAGCCCACAAACATTGACTATTTGAGGTATTAATTAGTATTGTATAATGACATTGTGCTTCAACACCAAAATAAAATATGTTTAATAATAAACCTATATAAAACAATAATATGTGTATATTTCTAATATATTGTGAAGGTGATCATTGCCTAGAATTTGAGTCACTTGTCCTTATATATTTTTTGAGTGGTGTGGACAGGTTTGCTCTGTTAATAAATGAATATGGTAAGGATATATTTTCGTGATTTTAGACTCCCATTTTCAGGGTTTTTTAAAATAATTTTTTAAATTTTTCAATTATAGTTAATATATAATAGCATACTAGTTTCAGGTATACAATATAGTGATTAGACATTTATATACTTTACGAAGTGATTGCCCTGATAAATCCAATACCCATCTGACACTATACATAGTTATTACAATATTATGGACTATATTCCCTATGCTGTACTTTACATCCCCGTGACTGTTTTGTAACTACCAATCTGTACTTCTTATCCCTTCCCCCTTTTTACCCACCTCCTCACCCCTATCTGGTAACCATCAATTCGTTTTCTGTATCTGTGAGTTTGTTTTATTTGTTTGTTTATGTTGTTTTCTAGATTCTACATATAAGTGAAATCATATGGTATTTGTCTTTTTCTGTCTAACTTATTTCACTTAGCATAATACCCTCTAGGTCCATCCATGTTGTTGCAAATGGTAAGATTTCATTCTTTTTTATGGCTGAGTAACATTCCACTGTATGTGTATGTACCCCTTCTTTATCCATTCATCTATTGATGGACACTTAGGTTGCTTCCATATCTTGGGTGTTGTAAACAATGCTGCAGTGAACATACAGATTCAAATGTGTCTTTTCAAATTAGTGTTTTGGGTTTCTTCAGATAAATACCCAGAAGTGGCAATACTGGGTCCTTCTTTGTCGCTTGGTTATAAAGTCTATTTTGTCTGGTATAAGTATTGCTACCTAAGCCTTTTTTTTTTTCATTTCCGTTTTCATGAAATATCTTTTTCCATCCCTCTACTTTCAGTCTGTACATGTCTTTTATTCTGAAATGAGTCTCTTGTTGGCAGCATATGTAAGGGTCTTCGTCTCCTTTCGCTTTTTCTTGTCTAGGAAGCTCTTTATCTGTTCTTCAATTCTAGATGACAGCTTTGCTGGGTGGAGTAATCTTGGTTGTGGGTCCTTGCTTTTCATCACTTCGAATATTTTGTGCCAATCCCTTCTGGCCTGCAACGTTTCTGCTGAGAAATCAGCTGACAGCCTTAGGGGTGCTCCCTTGTAGGTAACTAACTGCTTTTCTCTTGCTACTTTTAAGATTTCCTCTTTGTCTTTAACCTTTGGCATTTTAATTATGATGTGTCTTGGTGTCACTCAGTATTCACTGAATATCTTTGTTGTATCATATTCAAGATTCAGCCTGAGTTGTTTTTCCTAAGATTACACACACACACACACACACACACACACACACGCACGCACGCACGCACGCACGCACGCACAGATTTGATTTGTTGTCTTTTATATGGAAGCTGTTTGTATTGTTAGTTCAAGATAAAATGAGTTGTTTGAATATTGTCAAGAAAAAATTGATGTATGAAACGCAGAAAGATTTGGCCTAAAAATATCAGTACTAGGTTTGAAATGGAGAAAGGAAATGTTTTTAATGAGCATCTCATCCTCTGAAATACTGCTTATTAAGCATCTCATAGGGATTTCAATTTGGATACTTCACAGTAAATATTGATTCTTAAGTAAAAATTTTTAATTTCATTCTGGTAATTTAAGAATAGACTGTGTACATTATAGGCACTTAAATTTTAATAAAATAATAAATTCATAGTAATAACTTTCTCTAAATTCATTGTTAACTTTGGCAAGAATAGAGTTTTTCCATTTAGTTATTGTAATTAGTTTTTGTGTTATCTTGAGACTGACTTTGAGTAGTGAGTCTAAATCTCATAGTCTCTTCCTAAGAACCAAACTGTGCTTTCTAGATTGATGTGGTTATGGCTTTTGACTCAAGGACAAGTGCCCTTAACTATTTTTGAATTTACTCTTTACTCTTGAATTTGTGACCAAATTGTAAGAGAGGGTGTGTTGGGGAAAGAGCAAGTGTGAAAAGTAAGGAAAGCTTTCTCCTTCACCTTTACAAAAATTAACTATCTGTAAAATTAGTAGGTTAGACTAAGTGACTGCAGATGTCCCTAATACCTTTAACAATTATATGAAAACTATTAACCCATGTATGATAACTAGTCCTTGAGGTTTGGCATAAGTGAGATGACTGTTGTTGGAGAGAAAAAGAGACAGGATTTAATATTAGACGTTTTATTATTCCTATGTATTAATTACTGTTTGACTGAACCATATGAAATTGCCAATGTTAGGTTCAACTTAATATGTATATGTATAAAGTACCAAATATTTTCAGCTGTTCCTTATATTCGAGCTTTCGTTATTTTGTTTGAATTGAGTTACAAAAATTCAAAACAGTTATATTTGTCTTTATAAGTTACAGCACCTCGCAAGCTTTATTGAAATGCTGGTTTTTATTAACCACCACTTTAAAGTTTGCATGAGACTTCTAAATGTAAATGTACATCTGCAGTCCTGACCGCTCTACCAAGCTTGCCAGTTGCCCCTGGAGATTTCCTGAGTAGCCCCACCAGTATATTAAATGTCTCATGTCAGAAACACAGCACCTTGTGTTTCCTCAGCAAAATAGCTTATCTTGCTATTCTCTTTTTAGTAATGATGTTCCTATTTCTCAGTTAAATAAGCTCAAAACCTCAGTCATCCTTGGTTGATTTCCCCCATTCCTCCCCCGCTTAGCCTTCCACATCCAGTCCGGCACAGAGTTTATCAGTTCTAGTTCCTTCAGTTCTCATAGGCATCTCCTTTCCATTTCCGCTGCCCCTGCGGTTCAGGACTTCCTTCCCGGTAGCCAGGCTCCCAGTGGTCCTTGTCCTCACGCCCCTCCTCTAGGATCTGACACAATGGGATCAGATGACCGCTCCTCAGCCATAGTTTCTGCCCTGCCCTTTCTCTGCTCAAAAGTCTTCTGGGACTCGTGGTGCTTACCAAAGGAAAGTCTAAAGTCACAGCAGGCCCTTCACCAATGGGCGCCACCTACCAGCATTATCTCCCATCCCTCTCTTCACCTCTGAGTACCACGTTTTTTAGCCAAAGCGAATATGACGGTGTCTTGTTTTTTTCTTCATGCGTCTCCCTCTGGAAATTTTCTGCTTCCCATCTCTCCTTATTCAGATTCTCTCCTTCCCTCAGCGCCTTCATGCTGTTCCCCTGTTGGACGGTTTCTTCTCTGCTGCCCTTCAGGTCCTCACATGTCAGGTTTTATGGCCTTATCCCATTTTCCTTTAGATCCTGCCTCTGTCCCCTTCAGGCTTTCAGCTTCCTGAAGGCAGAAGCTTTCTACTCTCCTTGTCTACCTGGTAGAATCTCTCTCACTTACAGGTATTATAGTTAATACTTAATGACGATATATTGGTTGGATTATTTAATCGTCATAATTGCTCTATTTATATATTTTGGTTATTTTTATTTACAGTTTTGGATTTTCTTGAAATTATGATTCTTCTTGAAGCAGTTTTTCTTTGGAATGCCATTTCGTTCATATGTCCTGCCTTAAATATTTCTAAATTGTATATAAATCCTTAGGTGATGAAAGTGGTAGTGTAATAAATGTTTCTTTGATGTAAAAGGATTAAATAGTCTACTGACTCTGTTTAAAACTTCTCTCATTTACTCTTACCATATTTCTTCCTGTAACTTGGGGGAAGGAATGCGATGGGAGAGTGTGCAAATAATATAGTTAAGGTACTGAATATATGCAGGATAAAGAACATGGACTTTGTAATCACAAACCTAAGTTTGAATGAAAAAGATCGGAAATTTCTTTACTTTTTTGAGTCTCAATTTACTCATCTGTAAAATGAGGATTTAAAAATTATTTACTTATGAAATCTTAAAATCTGCTGTAGTGCAGGACACATAGTAGGTCCTCAGTATAATCTGGGGGTGTGTGTGATTATCTTAAAGGGTGAGGATCCTCCTAGTGTCCTCCTGTGAAGATCAAGTGAGAAAGCTTATGACGTCTCTGATAATAAAAGACTTAGAGGTATTTTTATATCACACATTTCTCCTTGCTGTGCTGATGCTTCAGGGACTATGGTTTTATGATCTGTGGTGCTCCTGCCTCAGTATAATGCAGGTGAGGTGTCCTTTTACTGGATCTCAGGGCTTTTCTGGATGAAAAACCCAGAAAAGTTTTTATAAGTATTTAAAACAACGTATGCGAAGCACTAGTACGTATCTTAAGTTTATTAAGCCAGCTGATAAGGTTGCTATTTGGAAATTGCTAGAGGTTTACTTGTTCAGCTTTAGATTATGGAAAACGCAATGTGAATGTTGGTGGGTTCCTTCTTTGCAAAGGACAATTTCTGTGTTCCACGCTTTGAGCTTTGCTCTCAGGAGGGCATGAGGGCTGTATTGTTATCCCTGAGAAACCCCTTCAGCACGCTGTTTGTTGTTTATTTACAGAAGAGGAAGAGGACAGTGCCCCCGCCAAAGTGGAGGAACACAGGAAGATGAGTCAGGACAGTGCTTATCACACCACAGGTAACGGGTTGTGTAGCGCCCTGGGAAAGCTTCTCTCGCTTTTGTTCACTTCCTTTTAGTTGCTTTCTCACCGTGCTCTAAAGGCGTTTGCACTGCTCCTTCGGTCTGGATATCTTTTGGCTGGTAAGCTGCTTAGTCCAATTTAGGATGCATGAAAACCACTTGAGAAGGATTTATAAAGTAAGCCAATTTATACAAGGTATTCCTTCCTGAATTACTTTGTAATGACTCAATTAGCTTTCATTTCTGCACAAAGGAGATTTAGTTGCATAAATTAGCTTATCATCATTGAGGAAGTGTCACTGCTAAAGGACAGTTTATAGATACAACATGCAGTTGCTGTCAAACCTATAAGAATGTAATATAGACATCTGTGTATACTTTGTGCTTGAGCAGGAAAGACTTCTGCCATTCAGAGACTAACAGGGGACAACAAGTTGCCCAGGGGACGGGCAATGTAGACATCTCTGAAAAGGTCAACTTGACACAGGCTCTGACAATCGACCCACAGCTCTGTCTTCTTTGATAAAAATCAGATAAACTTAAGGCCGCTAATTGATCTGCAGCCTGTTTAAATGTTGGCCATGCATATCTTCATTGCATATGATTAACACGGAAAGCAAATGAATTGGGTAAGAAATGCCAGGGTCCAGTGACAGCAGCTTACACATTGGAAAAGGACACTGGTGGCCTAGAAGGCTGGGCAGGATATCCCCACTATCCATTTCCCCTTGGCACATGGCCCCAAGTGCTAATTAGGCCTTAGACTGGAAAAACAGCCACACAGGCTATGCACGGAATCACATGACACGGGCAGCTTTTCTTGCTGGTTGTTATTTGGAAATAGCAAGAGATAAACCCTATCTGGGCTGCAAGCATGGGGTTGGTTTTGATAAACTAGCCATGATTTTACATGGAAAGAAGAGAAAGACTGCCGCCTTATCGGGACTTTACACCTCTTCACAGCCGCGTGTCAGCTGGGGCGAGGTCTGCCACATCACCCCATGTCCTGCAAAGAGCTGTAGTTGAGGGTCACCTTCCCTTCTCTGATATGTCCATACATCATTCTTGCGAGCTGTCAGAGGCAGGGCGGACAAGAAGTGTGTGTTCAGGAAGTAGCTTTCCAGAGCCCTTCCTACTGTGACATGTGGAAAGGAAACGGAGGCCCGATTTCCGGACCTGAACAGGAAAGCAGGAGCAGGTTGCTGCAGAAGGGTTTGGTTTGCTTTTTTCAGAAAGGAAGTGAGGACGAAGTCATTCGATGTTCGCTCTCAGGCCCTGTAATATGCAGCCATAAAACACGACGGCTGAGGGAAACCTTGAGGACGATATTTGGTAGTAATTTAAGAATATAGGTTTTATTACGTATCATAAAGCTTCTGCAAAAGCACATAGTTTTCTTTCTTTTTTGAAATTTCAATGCAGGTGTAGAAGATAGACATGTTTAGTTATTCTTTCCACAAATGTAAGTATTTTGGCTTACAGCAGTTCTATTTTTCAAAAACCCTTTTATAGTAACTATCTCCTACTAAGTTTTTTGCCTTTGAGGGAAGGGGGAAAAAAATCCGTTTTTCCTCAGAGGAATGCAGTAAGTAGACCTAGCTTTTCATGCAATAGCTATAAATTAGCACTGCAATAATTCTTATCTTTAGTGACATGAAATTCTTTTCAAGCAACAGTTTTAATGCTTTTGCATAGCAGTGACCTTTGCTCTCGCTAGGCTGTCAAAGATGTAACACTAGAAGTTTGTTTGCGGTACAGGGCAGTGAATTGACAAGGGTATTACTATCTTGCTGAGCATCACATGATGTGAACTTCTAACCTTACTCAAGAATGTTATATATTTTTCATATTGGCTGATTTTCCTAAAAAAGAAAAAAAAATCAGACCATTGTAAAACGCATAAGCAAAAACAAAATTCGTCTTGTATTTCTTACAAGTTCTTTCATGTTCAAGTTTATATAGCTTGCATATATTTATTTTATATATAGTAAGGATTCCATTTGACTTTTTTTAACATCGTATATATAATATGCTTACCTTTCTAGAATAGTTTTTAAACTGTAATACTATCCAAGGAGAGATTCTCCATGATCTTATTATTTTACATTTCATTGATGGTCATATTTTTTAAAAAAACCTTTTCATTTTTGCAAAACTATCGCCAATGTTTAGTTTCTACTTTTGTAGTAATTTTGTTGTTATTGCCCAAAGATCTGTTTTTGTATTTTTTAAAAAGCAGTAGCAAGTACGTTGCTTAAATCCTTCGCAGGCTGGCTAATTTACAATGTTCTTTTTTTCTTTCTTTCTTTCTTTTTTTTTTTTTTAACCATTCATGCCTCTCAGGGCAAGAAACATAATGAGGTGATTTTTCTTTTTTTCTTTTTTTTTTGTTTGTAATTTTTGGAAACATAGACCATGATGTGGCTAGAAAAGACAAATTATTCCATGCGGTAGAGACAACTAAACAGACTTAATTTGTACTCAAAATGTATGCTTGTCTGTGGTTTATGACATTATGCTCTGTCCAATGTTCTGCTGTTGTTTTTTAAAATCATATCTCATGTGAATTATTTTTCAGTGTATAGGTGAACAGTGTTAACTTCTGTGAACCCACAGTGCTTCTGAGGGTATATCTAGGTGTATATTTAGCCGCCCTTAAATTTTTACAAAGTAAACCAGAGGAGCGTGCTGCTCTCTAAGGGGAAATGAATTCCTAATTTTTACGTCCAGAATTTAAACCAAGAATCTTAACATTACTTTCCTGAGGCCATAAACATACTGCCAGGTTTTCTCCCTAGTTGGGATTTTTCTACTTTGTAAGTCATACTGAAGCTAAAATTGATAGCATAGTAAACTGTATGTACATGTAGCCATGTGACATTAGTAACTTACTATTCTTTAACAGAGCTCACATGCAGGACACAGGAATAAGGTTGGTCTTTGGATAACATCATCATCAAGGTTATAGAAAGCACAGTAGAAAATGCCTCTTTCTCCCAGTATTACTAAATCGCCAGCTCTGTTGCCTTTTGCGGCAGTGAGATTTAATGAAATGCTCATGAAGCACAGCTAGGGAGAGATGCATCTTGCACACTGGGGGGGGGGTAGGGGCGGGGGGCGGGCGTCTCTCTGCCCCTTGTGTGCTCCTGGGACTCCCATTAGTGTTAATGGGAGTTTCTCCAAGTGCATCGAGCGGAAGAGAGACCCCAAAGTGATAAGGATGATTATGTGTTAGAAATCATCATCTACTTTCCTTCCTTCTCCCCACCCCCCACCCCTCCACCTCTTGAGACTCTGTTGAATGAAAAACTGTTGTGAGAAAATCTGAAAAAGGGAAGAGCAGGCAGCAGGCTGGATGGCTGAGGAAGCTATGGGGACGCTATAGCCAAGCCACAACTTCTGCTCAAGTTTTTAGCCCAAGTTTTGTTTCTTCAACCTTTTTTTAGATCCAGCCTAAGGCAGAGCGGCAGGGGGAACACACAGGAGCCTGGACTGGGGAAACCAGCTCCTTAGATCCTGGCCGGTGACTGTGGGGGAGGGCCTTGCATGTGAAATGATGTCATCCTCTCTTTGCTCTAATTCCTTGACTTTTAAACTGACACTGACGGACTGCATGGGGCACAACATTTGACCCATTTAGCAGTTGATTTAATCTGACTAGGATGTTTCAACTTCTAAATCTCTATTTGTCTAAATAAGTGGTTTTTAAAGGAAATCAGTCACTTTATTATTAAGTAATTTTTTTCTAAAAAAAAAAATTGACAATGTTTGGAGAGATCTGTCCAGCCAGAGTGCCCTCTAGTGTCCATTTATAGAATTGACTTAATATTATGCTTTGGGGGGAAAAAAACGTAATGAAGGGTGGCCATGAGCGTTGTTAGCTCTTGGTTGGATTCCCAGGCTGTGCACATCCCTGCTGGTATCAGTGATGAGTGCTCAAATGCTAGAGTGGAGAAGCCAATAAGATGTCAC